ATGGTTATGCCTAAAAAAAGAGTAAGCTGAAAGATGTTTTTGTTGCTATTGTTGTTGTGTCTGTTGGTTTAATATAAAGGTAGTGCTAGATGATCCTAGAGCTAGAACAGTGGTTCTTAACTGGAGGTGATTTTATCCTCCAGAGGATATTTCGCAATCTCTGGAGATTTTTTTGGTTGTCACAACTTGGGAGGGTAAAGCTACTGATATCTAGGGGCTAGAAACAAGAGATATCGCTAAATATCCTACAAGGTACAGGACAGCCTCCCAAAACAAATAATTGAGCAGCCCAAAATGTCTATAGTGCTGGTTGAGAAACCCTGATCTAGAGGCAAGCATTGTGGACCACAATATAGCTGATTTTGAAAAAAATAATATTCAAAAGTCATTGAATGTGTGTACTAAAATACAGAGGATTCGACAAATTTACAAAGCATGCTCTGTTCTAACCAATTACCAGATAAAGTTCTAAAACCATGGGAATGGCTTTGACAGAATTTTGACTTGAGATTCCAGAATCGATCTAGGAGAAAGAATGGTATGAAAATAATAGTAAATAAAAGCAGTATGGAACTAAGGGTGTAGGATCTGTGCCCAGTAAAATGGCATACAGGAGTACAGCATAGTAGTCTTTCAAGACTTAGTGATTTTGTTTTTTACCTTGCCTTCACTTGCTCTTCTGAAAAAAATCTCTTATTTTTGCTCTTTCTTCTCTAAGGAATTTTCTCCAAACAGCTCCTGGACAGTAAAACAATAAAGAAAAGGTTTATTAAAAATGAGTTTCTCTATGAGCACTTATACCTATATTAAAGAATTTCTGTATCACACAACTCTCAAAACTAATTTGGAATCATCCCGAAGTGGGAAAGTATCTCTAATAATAGCAAATTCTTAAATGAGTCCTCCTTACTCTGCTATATGCATTCAAAAGTACTGGATTAGATGGGCTGGCCCAGTGGCATAGTGGTTAAGTTTGTGCACTCCGCTTTGGCAGCCCGGGGTTCAGGGGTTCGGATCCTAGGCGCGGACCTACACACTGCTCATCAAGCCATGCTTTGGCAGCATCTGACATGCAAAATAGAAGACTGGCACAGATGTTAGCTCAGGGACAATCTTCCTCAAGCAAAAAGAGGAATATTGGCAACAGATATTAGCTCAGGGCCAATCTTCCTCACCAAAAAAAAAAAGTACTGGATTAGAAATCAGAGTCCTGAATTGAATACAGACTCCATTTGCTCAAAACTTGTTTGGGCAAATCATATAATGTCTCTGAGCTTTGTTTTTTTTTCCTTTTTTTAATTGGTAAAAAGAAGATTATAATACCTGCCCAGGTTGCCTCATATTACTTTAAGCATCAAATGAAATGATGTATAAAAAGCATTTTGTAAACTATGAAGTTCCATCCAAATTGAGCTATGTTAGCCAATATAAGATTTATATTACTCTATATTAGAAGGTTCATTTCCATTATACAAATTGAGGCAAAATATAGACTTCTGGGCCCCACTCCAAACTTATTCTTTCTATAGAAGTGAGGTCCAGCCATCTGTATTTTTAACAAGGACACCAAAGTTGGAGAAATACTATATAATACTGTACCATTCTCATTTCTGATATACTCCGTTCTTTCTACTTCAATGGAAATTTAACTGTCATGTACCATTTAATTTTCTAATCATCTTAAAATCATTTGGTAAAAGACAAAAATGTGTTGTCACAAAACAACTGAAATTAAATTTTAAAAATTAGGTAATTTAGATTTCAACTGCAATTGTTTTATAAGTGTTTTTAACTTTAAAAATCAAAGCTTGCTCTTTGTAACACAGTGGATTGCAAAATATTTAGAGACCTAAGAATGATTAATCATAAAAATAACTTAATTTCCTGGGGGCATTATTATAATTTACCACATTAGCTTTATTCATGTCAAATTTTACCATATTCAATAGCTGCTGAGTTAACTTAAGAGACTATTGGTTCTTTACATCTCAATTATCCAAGTGAAAATTCACAGATCTTTTAAAACACATCTTTCTATGTAAACATAAGTGAAATTTATCATATCTGAGTTTCTCAATATGTGACTGATGTTGCTTCAGTTAAACCTTCATATTTAGAGTTAACTAAGTCCCAAAAGAACAACTTGGGAGGTACTATACCTATCATCGTCATCATTATAGTCTTGTTCTAAGGGTGAAAGGAGAAAAAGATTGCTGCCTATTTAGGTGAGACAGGGTAGGAGGCATTACTGAATTTGGTAGAGTGGAATAACAAAGCCAAGATCCAAGATAACTCCCCAAAATAAGAAATATGAATAAATACAATAAACAATGAATGAATAATTGTGACTAGAGTAAGAGAGTAAAATTACATTTTTAAAGATTACATCTGGCTTTAAAAAGGTTAACCTTAATCATCACTATGATAAAATAAGCATTTCCAGATTTCATCCTAATGTGTTTAGCAGACTAAAATAAGTTATTGATCTTAACTGTTTAATCAGAATATGTGTTAATATAACACTAATATATTCTTAGAGGCTATATTAGCCTGGAAACAACCCAAATATCCATCATCAGAAGAAGAGACAAATAAATTATGATATATTCATACAGTGGAATACTCTGCAGCAGTGAAAATAAATGAACTATGGTTACGTGCAATAACAAAAAAGGGAACATTATGATGAGTTACAAAAGCAAGTCAAAGAAGAAGCATGATTTCATTTACACGAAGTTCAAAAACATGCAACACTAAATAACATATTATTTATGGATACAAATATTATGGTAAAACTATAAAGAAAAACAGAGGAATTATATATAAATTTGAGACAGCAGTTGCCTCTAAAGAGGGAAGGAAAGGAACGTGATTAGGAAAGGTGTACACAAGAAATTTAAAGGAAATGGTAATTTTCTTTTCTTAAATTGGGTGATAGGTCACAGGTGTTTGCTGCATTGCTTTTGTTTATTCGGTACTCATGTTTTATAAATATTATTTTATAGGTATTCAATATTTAATAAAAACAAAATTTGATGTCTTTCCTTTCTATACTCGCTCTGTAAAAAAAAACAGGTTTATGATTTTAACAGATTTCAATTCCTTGCTTTCAACAGCAGCAGTAATAATTGAACATACATATACTTTAAACAGTTCTATACTGTCTAAGATAAAAAAAAAATTTCTAAATCTAACTTTAAGAAATAAGATATCCAAGAAAAAACATGAGAGCAATTTTTGGAGTCGAAATTAGCTCAGAATTCATAAAAATAAAATCAACTTAAACTTTTAAATAGTTAGTAAATCAAAGATACAGGCTATGTCTTTTTTTCACTTAAGATGGACATCAGTAGTAAAATTTCCTAACAAAAAAAATCTTCAGATCTCAATTTTACTAAAACTCTGATCCTATCCTAAGGATCTCCCTCTTAAGAAGTTCTACAATATGCAAAAACATTTTAAAAACACTTTTTAAAAAAGGCTTATTCTTATAGATCACCTACATATAACTAAAAAATCTTTACATAAAACTTGGAAATGCTTAAGCTTTAGTGGATTGTTGTGGTCTACATGTAGATTTATTGAAAGAGCTGTGTAAATACATATTAAGCACCTAGGGAAGAACTTTTTTTAAAAATATTTTTTACCTTTATACCAAAAAAAAATTCTCAAATAGTGAAATACAGTTGTTTATCTAGCATGGAAAGTGAGGAAACGATGAAATCTGCCAAGTTTTATCTATCTCTATAAAAGTAAACCCTGCATCTCAAATATATAGAGTAAGATCAAAAAATAAAAATAACCTTTACACAGCTTCATCTGTGAAAGTGGTCTCCAGATTGTACTTTACCAGCATCTTATATTCAAAAAGGTTGGTTTTTCCAGCATGGAGGGTGTATAATTAGGTAACAGTCTGAAGCCTACCAATCATAATTAACACAAAAGAGTAAAACAATAGCTTTTAGAACCATTTTGGTTCAAAACGAAACAATCCTAAAGATAAAAGAAGCTTAGCCAATTATACACTCATTTCCATCACATACTGAAATTTTAAAGATGAGAACAATTTTAAAGCCAAACTTATAAAATTCCTCAGAGAATAATTATTCTGTTTTTTTTTTTTTTCCGAAAAGTAATATCTCTTAGCTCTTCCTTGGAATTTCCAAGAGTTTTGAATCGAAATTCAGCGACACCAACGCCAAAGATCTCCTCCCTTCCCATAAATCTAGAGATGGTATCTAATAAATTACCTTTGGATATTTTAATAAGTCACAAATAAAATGCCAACCAATATTTAGTATTTCGATTAACCTCACCGCCCATTTTAGAGAGATTTCGTAGTAATTTTCGTATTTTACACCATATATTGTAAACAATTATAATAACCTATTTATTACGAATATATATTTCACAGCAACTTCGCCTGTTAAACCTAGGGTTACTTTTTTTTGTCCTCCCCTTTTAACCTAAAACTACGGATCATGATCCTTTTTAAAATTTCAACCGAACCTCACAATTCAAAATTACCAACCCCGCTAACCCCTTACGCCCTTATTTCATAAGATTATAATTTTTTTAAAAAAAGTACTTTAAAAGCCCTATACCTTTTTCCTTCATCCGTAAGACTTTTAAGCTCTGAGAACAGAAGTGAGGGGTCAAGGATAGGGTGAAATCTGAGGGAAAAGGTGGGGCTAAGAAGAGGGGGTTAAGAAGAGTTCGGAGTACGACAAAAGTAAAAACCAGGTTAGTTGGGTGACGAGAACCGTTAGGCGCTGGGTTACACTAGGGTGCACGCGAAGGACTCGAGGGGGAGGGGCGTAACCTCCTACCCTCGAACCCCCTAACGCCCCCAAGCGACTGCAGCACTCCCTAACCGACTCTCGGAGCGGCAGCCATTTTGGCGTTGCCCCAGCCACGCCCCTTGGGCGCAGATGGCTCCACCCCCCGGCAGGCCGTGTGCAGAAACAGGAAGTGGGATTGCAAACCTAGGAGCTGGGCGGTACTTTGAGTGCCTTCCAATCAAACCTGTGCTGCTGCCTCTGGCTGTCTGCCGCTGAGAAAAGTCGTGGGACCATGTCGACTATGGAGAGTATCCTTTCCGGTCTGAAAAGCTGCTGCTACGGCTTAGAGAAGGGGGGAAGAGTAGGGACTGGGGCCCCTGGGAGGCGCCTGGTGGTGGTGACCTTTTAGGTTTAGTTGTGGAGGGGTAAGGGCGGTGACGCCGATTGGTAGGCGCCGGCAGCTTGTTTTGTTTTGTTTGTTGTTGTTTTTCTGGTAGCCGCCGCCATCCTAGAATCAGGGGACGTGAGACTGCGTTGCCAAGAGTCAGAGTCGTGGCGGAACTGGTTTGAGCAAGATTCTTGAGCGCGAACCTCACCTCGTTGAGAACTACTGTCACCTGTCCTTTCAGTGAATTTTTCCACTTCTTAGAAATAGAGGGGGAGTGGTTCGGAAACAGAGACGGCAGGAGTTCGCTAGAGATTTGGGGCGGAGGTATAGGTTTTGAATGCAGTACAGGGTCAAATAGCTTTTGTGGAACTTCTTCCTTTTTCTGAATGAAGGTGACTGGTAATGAGGTAAAATGCTTAATACCATCCCTCCAAACTAAGTTGAGTGCTTGCTTGTTGATAATCAGATTTAGCACGTAAGGAAACTCATATAGTTCTCTAAAGCTATAAAAATTCATCAATTGCACCTGTGTTCCCACTTAAGCAATGAGATCTGGGTTAGGAACCAAGCTGTGTGAAGCCCTGAATTGAGTGATGAAATTGCTTTTCACAACTGAAATAGCGTCGCAGGATTTCCATGTCGCTGTAATTCCTCCTTCTTCCAGGAGTTGGCATTACAAAAAATAGAGTGGCTTGGTATCTTGCCATTGAATAAAACTTGGCAAAATGACAAAATGTGGGTAATGGTGATTGTTTGATAGCTCATGTTAAAGCTCTTTTGCCTTCATTAGTTTGTAAGTCTGAAACATGGAAAGACATTTGGTGAGAGGATTAAATTATACAAGCCATACTGGTAATATTGAAACATATCCTGTGCTGAACTGGCCAAGATAAACCAAGAATAAATTGTGAACCCTTGAGGAAGTGGAAAAATAGGTCATTTCATGAACAGAGTGGATGACTGAAAGGCCCAGTTATCATTACAGTTTAAAGGATATGTTTTATGGAAGTGTAGTTGTTAGATGATTTTTTTTTAAAGCAGCATCATAAAGGAAAGAGCACTGGATTGTGAGTCAGAAGATCAGTTGCTAATCCCAGTTCCGTCTCTTAAGAAACATGTGAATGAGGACAACTCATATAGCCTCTGTCATGCAACGTTTACTGATCTGTAAACGTACTAACCTGCCAACCTTATAAAGCTGTTCTGAAGATAAAATAAAATGGAAGGGCTTACTAAATTGTAAAGTTTTGAACATGCTGTTAAGTATTCAGAAATTTTAGTACAAATTGCTCTCTCTTTCCCCAGAACTTTTGAAAGGATTTGAATAGCTCTAAAATTGCTTTTGTTTCCTACTCTAATAGTGCAAGTTATTTTTCCTCTACCTAAGCCTACCCTATGTGATTTCCAGTATCAAGATAATTGGTTACTAATTTCCTTTCAGTGAAAAGTATGTATGCCTGACTATACTTAAAATTAATGGTACTGTTATCAATAGTTTAATACCTAACAAAAATGAACTGTTAGCTACCCTTCAGTCTATCAGAGGAAGTGAGGAGGTTTAACTTGATTCATACCATTTGGCAGTGATCACTTCTCCTGGTTCCTTTTTGTAGAATCCAGACCTTTTCCTTGGAGCATAGAGGAGCAGAATGGCATATGGACTCAGACCTGTCCTACATTAAAAAAAATAACTTGAACTGAAACTTGAGTAACATTTGTCACCTGTATAAAATGCAAAAATGTCATTGTTACAGTATATAAGAAGATTAAATGTGCTAACAGTTGAATTAGCGTGGCAGTTGTGACTTCTGTCTTTGGACAGTTAAACACACTGAATTTATCATGGTGGATTAGATCAAATCTCAGTTCAAAAAACTCGATGGAATCACCAAATTTATTTGTTGTAACATGTTCATATAGGTGTTTACAAGTATAGAATTATTAGTAATATATGTGCAATATTAACACAGTGTGTTTCAGGAGTAGTGTTTGATTATAGGAATGAAACAGTAGAAGAGAAATAACTAAGGGATGCTCCTCGATTCCATGCTCTTTTTTTTTTTTTTTGCTTCTCTATGTTTCTACCCTTCTTTTGGCATTTTGTTGTTTTTGACTTAGCTCAAGCATACTTCATTTCCAGGAAGCTTTCCATGTCATCTTCCTAATCTCCTAACCCAGCATCCCCAATAAACCTAGATATCTGAGAGTGCCAGTTCCTACTCTGTGCTCCTTTCCTCATTTATTTTCCCCTCCATTTTAGCCTTTTTTTCACTATTGTAATCATATGTTTACTTATCTATCTCTTACATTAGACCGTGAGTTCCTTGTGGATGGGTTCCTTATCTTTCATCTTTGAATCCTCATTTCCTTGCATAGCACTCAGCGCCTAGTGGACACAATGGCAAATGACTTTCTATTAAGAATTAATTATTAGCATATATTGAATCTGAGTCTCTAGTATGGGCTGAGCAATGCACCTAAGCTGTCGATATAGAGGGTTATAAGACCCATTCCCAAGTTGGAGTAACTTTTGATATAATTGAGCCAGTACACACATGGGTGGGGATAAATACGTAGCAATATTTAGGTAGAGAAAGGTAGAGAAGTACAGTTGTGCACCACATAATGATATTTCAGTCAACAGCAGATCGCATATACAGTGATGATCCCATAAGATTAGTGCCATATAGCCTAGGTGTGTAGTAGGCCATACCATCTAGGTTTGTGTAGGTACTGTAGGGGAGGAAGAAATTTTTCTCTACCCTTCTAGGTTCTTCTGGCTGCTCTAAGAATTAAACTGACATGAGACAGATTAACAGGAGAAAAACAAACAAAAGTTTAATAATGTGTATACATAGGAGAAACCCAGGAAAACCAAGTAGCTTACCAAAGTGGCCGAAGCCCTCACCTTAAATGCCATCCTCAGCTAAAGACAAAAGAGGATGTTGGGGATGGGGAGAGTCAGGGACTTCAAAGGGAAGGAAGACAATTCACAGGTGGGTGAAAAGAAACAAATGTTTGGAAAACAAGTGTTTGGCCACAGGGAAATAGAAGAACACAGAGGGGAGCCCAACAAACAAGCCTTTCTGGGTTCCTCCCTGTCTATCACCTAGTTCATGTTATGCTAAAATGATAGCTCACTTCCTGAGACAGGTTTTTTATCTGAATTCTTTTAGGCGGGTAAGGGAGAGGTATCTAGAAAAACTTTTGAGTCTTTGGTTTCTTTTTTTTTTTTTTTTTTGTGAGGAAGATGGGCCCTGAGCTAACATCTGCCAATCCTCCTCTTTTTTGCTGAGGAAGACTGTCCCTGGGCTAATATCCATGCCCATCCTCCTCCACTTTATATGGGATGCCGCCACAGCGCGGCTTGACAAGCGGTGCGTCGGTGCCTGCCCGGGATCCGAACCGGCGAACCCCGGGCCACCGCAGCGGAGCGTGCACTTAACCACTTGCGCCACCCGGCCGGCCCCGAGTCTTTTGTTTCTTAAAAATACTCATCCTAAAATAAACCTCATGTTAAACAGACACATTTTAGGGTGGCAAATTTTATTCATCTTTAGTACACTCTATGATATTTGCACAATGACAAAATTGCCCAACACCACATTTTTCAGAACGTGTCCCCCTTGTTAAACGATGCATGACTGTAACGAAATAGATAATAGGTACTGTAGACATTCTGAGAGTAGAGAAAGGGATGTTGTGAACTGAATTGGTTTCATTATCTCCTTTTGTAGTCACTCAGACAGATGAGACTGTGTTATAGGCAAAGATTGCCAGCTACCTTAGAAATGTCTGTTTGCCATTTATGAATGGCTTTATATCCTAAAGCAGAACTAATTACATATCAGAGTCTGAGGTTTTGCTAGTGTTCACAAATGCATTGTGATTTTTGTTTACCAACATTAATAATATTTCAAATGTGCTTTTTAAATATCATTACCTGGCCTTAGTCTTATAATTTATGGCCTGCCTAGCTAGTAGAATATGGTGTCTTACAAGAAGTGTTGCATGTAAAGATTACTTATGGTTCATCATTTGATACAATTTGAGGACCAGTTCTGAGCAATTCACTATGAAAGTTAAAATGCAAAGAGGAAAATAAGATTCGATCTGGATTTGAGTTCCTTCTTGTTCTTTTATTCAGCAATTACTCCACAATTATAGATCTCTAGGCTTCAGTTTTCACATCTGTAACATGAGGGATGTTGACAAGTAATTTCTAACGTTCCTTTCAATTCTGATGATTTCCCTGTGTTTATGTGATCCCAGACTACCTCCCAGAAATACACAAGGGATGATCAAGATGCTGGGAGCTGAGAAAGGGGAAAGTTGGATGCATAATGCCACTCCTTCTTATCAAATGTATGAATAAACAATCTATCGTATTGGTACCACTGCTTTATTCTGGGGCATGCACGTGCTAGTGGAACATTTTTATTTCCTCCTTCTTACCTCCATTTTCAACCTCTACTTCTCTGTGCCCAAAAGATTGCATAATCCTACTGTTGTCACTTGGAGTCAAATAGCTTTCTGCCCTACTATGTTTGGACTTTGACTTGGTGTTGCTACACCCACTTCAGAGAGGCAGTCAGAACATGAGATTTCTACTATGAAATTCTGCTAGTAAGCTGACTAATAATTTTTCTTAGGAAACAGATTGAAATCTTAAAGCAAGGCTTCCTTCTGTATGCATAATGAATGTGTTGAGCCCTGATTCTAATTTAAATTTCAAAGCAGTAATCTATTAAGACATAGTTGATTTCTGTCTTGCCTATCAGCAGTGTAATTGCAAATAAATTAAATCACACAGAATGTTTTAAAGAGACAGTGGGACTTTTTATTCCCTGACTAACCATATTGCCCAATTAAGATAGGTGACTTGGGGCCGGCTCCGTGGCTTAGCGGTTAAGTGCGCGC